AAAAAAAAAAACTGCAGATAGCAAATCATTAATAACCCTGTAAACAGAATTTGACTTCCCTGGGGCTATCATCTCAATAACCACCTAAGGAGCTAACTACATCATCTATCTCTCAGATGAGTTTAATTACAAAAAAGGGCTCAATACATATTTTAAAAATTGCAAATAACCCCAGCTGACATGTGCTCTTGTCACACAAAAATTGCACTCTGAGGCTGAGTGGGGGGTACATTTGCAATTCTAAAATATTACAATCTTTCTCTTTTGTCCTTTGCTTTGTGTAAATTTTAGACTCACTTCCCATTTTCCTTGGCTTTGAAACCCAATTTAGCATAATACTTACTAGACTTGTTTTTCTCTGCACCTGTCTTTGTCCCTTTGCTCATCCTCCCAAACAAAGCATACTTCTTCAAGAACTCCTTCAGCTTCTGCACCTTCCTAAAGCTCCTGTCCTCGGGCCGGGCCGAATCGTTCCTCACGGGCCTCAGCCCCCCTTCCCCTGTCTGGTCCCGGACCCACCTCGCGTACGCCGACCCCTTGAAGTCCAACAGCGGCCCACTAAAGCTGGGCCCACCCGCCGCCTGGGCGGCGCTCTCCTCCGAGAACTCCCGGTCGGCGTAGACCGTGCAGTCGCTCGAGCACCTGACCACGGCCCGGAAAGGCGAGTACGACCTCGAGCGCCTCTGGCGGGGCCCGGGCACCCGCCCGCGCCTCTTCTCCTCCGTGACCTTCTGCAGCGCGGCCACGAACGGGTCGAAATCGTCGTTGTTGTTCTTCCTCGAGAAGGGGAGGCGGCAGAGGGTGGCGGGCCTCGTCGGGGAGGAGGCGGCGGAGGAGTCGTGGTGGAGGCGTGGCGGAGGCTTGAGCGGCATGACGAGGCCGTCGGAGAAGAGCTCGTCCGCGAAGGCGATTTTACCGTTTTGCCCTCCGTAGTAGTCGAAGAAGGTGGGATCGAAGTTGTTGTTGTGGCGGCCGCTGTTGAATTTGCTGCTCGTCTCGAACTCGAAGTCGTCGAGGCCCGGGGGGATTGGGCTCGTGGGGGCCGTGACGTAGGTGTAGGGAGGGGAGGCCATGTATTTTCTTGGAGAGTTTTCAAGTGAGTTTTGTGGATGGCTTTTTATATATGAGATGAAGATGAGATGAGATAATGAGTTTGAACTTTGAAGTTCATTGTGTGTGTGTGTTTTTATTTTATTTTATTTTTTTATATTTTGTCCTGAATTTAAGGGATTGTTCGCAACTCACATGTGTGACGCTTTTACTTAGAAATTTGTTTTCAAACATCGACAAAGCAGAAAAACATGCCTGTAAACGTCCACAATCAAAACATCATAAGCCCCAAAACCAGTATTTTATTCCTCAAGTGAAGAAAGATTAATTATTATAGAATTTATTGGGAAATGCTACAGTCCCATTACAGAATCATTTCATCGGAGTTTGTAACTATCACGTAACTGTCATGGATAGTTGATCTAATGGTTACAAACCTCGATCGAATAATTCCGTAACGGGACCGTAGAATCTCCCGAATTTAATATATAGAAAATAAAAGGCAAGGTTCGAAAGTGGACATCGTTTTCATAAAGTGAGATACGGAATAGAGAGAATTTCCAACGGATTGAAATTGCTCCAATGTGAACTGATTATTTTTTTTTCTTTTTTCTTTATACCGAGATTTTATGCTTGCGCCTAACTCGGTCCACGAGGAAACAGTTCTGGCTGCTCAAAAACTGCCTCCAGTTAAATCGCGGTAGCCACACAATGGCTAACAGGTGCCTAATACCATCAATTACCGCGCACAAGGAGTCGATTCTCAAGTGATTGCTCGCTGGCCCTCCCAGCTCCAAATTAACTGTTGGGCTCAGATGCGCAATGCGGAAGATGTAAATTAAAATATCAAGGTAAAATAGTGAACAATAATCCCAATCCCAGCAACTCAAGAATGACAAAGAAAATCTCTTGCAATAATACCGGAATAATTCTTTTCTGATGTGGAAGATCAGATTAAACTGCAACCACAGAGCATACTAAGAATATCCCAAATAAATAAAATATACAAGAAAGAAGACATCAAGATTTAACGTGGAAAAACATCCAAATAGAGAAAAAAACCACGGGACAACCTCCGAACAATTCCACTATATTTTCAAGATAATTACAATATCTTTTCACACTCCCTTACACTAGAAATGTAAAATATAGTGACCCAGTAAGCCCCCACTTCTAAACAAGGAGTAATAGAGTTGATACCCAACCCGGTGTATTTTTTCCACACTCACAGGATTTACTCAAACACTCTATTTTTATCTCACTGAAAAATAACACAAACAAAAATACTATTTCTATACTCTCTTGCTCTCTCTTTTTTCTTCTCGCTTGGTGTGTTTTCTTCTGTTGAATGCCTTCCTATTTATAGGGATGAAGTGCAGTGCACATTCAACAAAAACAATTGTCAGATTCCTTCTTTTTCCAATAACGGTGAACTAACCACCAATCATTCAATAAATTAATGCTGCTACATTTTTTTTTATTAAGTTGTCAGCCCACTTAATTTGGCTAAACATGACAATTCTCCCCCTGCAGCCAAAAGGTTATATTCTGCAAATCTCACATGCATTCCATGCCGATCAACTCGGCACAAAGCTGAAGCTTTCCTCCTGTTACAACTTTCGTCATCATGTCAACAGGATTTTCGTCAGTGTGAATCTTTTCCAACCTGAACTGTTGTCCATCCACTACTTGACGTAGCCAATGATATCTGACATCAATGTGCTTCGTGAGAGAGTGGTACATCGCATTTTTACTTAAATCCAATGCGATCTGACTATCACAATGGATATCGTATCTTTCCTGCTTCATTCCCAATTGTTGAAGAAACCTCTTCAACCAAAACATTTCTTTTTCTGCTTCTGTCATTGCAATATACTCTGCTTCAGTAGTCGACAAGGCAACAGATTTCTGCAATTTAGATTGCCAAGATACAGCTCCTCTTGCAAATATAAACACAAACCCTGAAGTAGATTTTCTACTATTCAGGTCACCTGCCATATCCGCATCTGTATAACCTTCAAGAACTGGGTTTCCTTTTCCGAAGCTCAAGGACTTATTTGCACTGCCTTTTAGGTACTTCAAGATCCACTTCACAGCTTCCCAATGATCCTTCCCAGGATTGGAAAGATACCTCCTAACAACTCCAACCGCGTGAGCGATACCGGTCTAGTACACACCATGGCATACATCAAACTCCCGACTGCTGAGGAGTATGGAACACCTGCCATAGCTTCTTTTTCTTCTTGACTCGTAGGACAACTTCGTTTGCTGAGCTTGAAGTGATTGGCTAACGGTGTATTGACCGGCTTAGCCGATTTCATGTTGAATTTCTCCAGAATCTGATTCACATACCGTTCTTGCGATAACCATAACCTCTTGGATTTTCGGTCTCGCATGATCTGCATGCCCAAAATTTGTTTCGCATGGCCCAAATCCTTCATTTCAAAGGACTTTGCTAAATCCTTCTTCAGATCACCAATCAACTTCATATCCTGTCCCACTATCAACATATTATCTACATATAACAAAAGAATAATGATTTTACCACCTGGAAACTTCTTAACGAACACACAATGATCTGTGTTCATGTGTGATTTTACACCATATTCATATAGTATCTAGAGCTTAATTGTTGCATTTGTGGTGTATAAATTGCATATTTGTGCTTTAGTTCTATATTTGTTGGAAAGGTATTACGCGTGCTTGTTTTGTAGATATTTTCACATATTTGTAGAGCTTTTGGCTATTGGAGGAGCATGGTAGGTGCCTAAGAGCCCCGGGATGATGATAGATTGATGCACGGATGAGAAAAATAGAAGAAACGAGCAAAACGGACAAAAACGTGCATGCTGGGACCTGACACGGGCTGTGACACGACCTCCATGCCCGTGTCAGAGACCATGTCACGTAGCTGGGAGGATTTTGAAGCCCCGGAGACCTGACACGACCTGTGACACGACCTGTGACACGGGCGTGTCAGGCCGTGTCGCGACGCGGGCAGTTTTTAATCGCTTACCTTTTTCGCTTAGGAGAGGACTTTTGGACATATAAAAAGACCTATTTACATGATCTTGAGCCCTAGAACGTGATTACGCGAGGAAGAGAGCCGGAGAACGTGATTACGCAAGGAAGAGAGCCAGAGAACACGCAAGAGAAGCAATTGGGAAGAAGAGAAGATCGACGACAAGCTTACTAGTTTTTCTTTCTATCTTTTGAACTTGTTTTCTCATGTTGATTTTGAATATGTCTATGTATTTGATTTCAAACATGAGTAGCTAATCTTCTTTGATTCTAGGACATGGTAGTAGATTAATAGTTTGGGATTTTTGGATGATTTATTATGATTGATCGTTTTCTTTTGAACCCTATTCAAATATTTCGTGCTTAATTCATGAATTGCAACTGGCCATTGCTTTTACATGTTTGATGATATTGTTCATAATTCGAGAGATGAGTTCAATATAAGATCTTTAATATTTGACACAATTTATTTGCTTGAATCGAGAGATTAGTAGATAGTTGTGAGGATCTTGGGTCTTTTATTCTTTTTGGAGTTGAATTGCATGTGTTGAGTGGAGACGCTAATATATGTGATTTAATCTACGGTTTTATCGATCTCGAGAGGGACGATAGGCTAATTTCGTGATCATCTTATAGGGTAGATAAAGAAAATAGTTAATTGTGATATATCTGAAGGAACCCAACTGTTAATTGAACCCATAGTCTTAGAATCTATCATTCCCATATATTCTTCTTAAGTGTTTTTCTAGTTGTTTTCTTGTTATTGCTTTCTTATCTTTTGATTTATTTGCTTAGTTTAGTTAATCAATCTCATATTACGATCGTCTAAATAAAGTTGACACTATCATAATCTGGTACTTGATTAATTGGTTGTTTGGTCTCTTGGGATACGACCTTGCTTGCCACATACTACGAGCGAAGCCGTACACTTGCGGTCGAGCTTTAAAAATATAGGCGAACAATCTGCATCAGTCTTGGTATATCCATGGCTCGCCATAAACGAGTCAAATTTCTTATACCACTGTCTTGGAGCTTGTTTCAATCCATACAAGCTCTTCTTCAATCTGCAAACCATATGCTCCTTTCCGGTCTTCTCAAATCCTTCTGGTTGCTCCATGTAGATTTCTTCATCTAGGTCTCCATGAAGAAATGCAGTCTTCACATCTAGTTGTCCAAGCTCCATATCCAAGCTAGCCACCAATCCGAGTACTACTCGAATAGAGCTCATCTTTACAACCGGAGAGAATATCTCATCAAAGTCTATTCCTCTCTTTTGTCCAAATCCTTTCACGACTAAGCGAGCCTTGTACTTTAACAGCTTGTCACCATCTTTCTTAAGCTTGAACACCCATTTGTTTTTCAAGGCTTTTCTGCCTTCCGGAAGCTTCACAAGCGAATAAGTTTCGTTTTTCACCAGTGAATCCGTTTCTTCTTGCATGGCTTTCATCCACTGGGATTTATCCTTATGAGTTTGTACTTCTTCAAAGCTTTCTGGCTCTCCTTCTTCAGTGACGGTAATATACGTGGAACTAGGGTATCTCGTAGACGGTTGGATCGCTCGACTTGATCTCCTGAGCTGTGGTGGAGCTTCGAGGTCTTCCTGCTCGACACCTTCACTACCACCATCTTCTATTGCTGGCTCGTCATCAACCCTGAGTTCTCCATCACACTCTCCCCCTGCTGTGGCATCTCCAGGAGGTTTGATAGGTGAAAGATCCACCTTTCCACTTGGTTCTCTGATTTCTGGTAAAGCAGAATCAGACATAGTTTCTTGCTCATGGAACACTACATCTCTGCTTCTGATAATTTTTCGATTTTCTGGATCCCATAACCTGTAGCCAAATTCCTCATCTCCATAGCCCAGAAATATACAAGGAATGGCTTTATCGTCAAGTTTTTGTCTATGTTCCTTACTTACATTAGCAAAAGCTTTGCATCCAAACACCTTCAAATGAGAGTATTTAACATCATGTCCGGACCATACTCTCTCAGGGACATCAAAGCTCAAAGGAACAGATGAAGATCGGTTGATCAGGTAGCACGCCGTTAGAACAACTTCACCCCAAAATGGCTTAGGTAGTTTAGCCATTCTTAACATACACCTCACTTTCTCCATAATGGTTCTGTTGATTCTTTCAGCCAAACCATTATGTTGTGGGGTTCCAGGTACAGTCTTCTCGTGCCTGATGCCATGCTCGGCACAATAATTCTTGAATTCATGGGAAGTATACTCCCCCCCATTATCTGAACGAAGACACTTCAAGAGTTTACCAGCCTGTCTCTCCACCATAGCATGAAACCTTTTGAAGTATTGAAAAACTTCACCCTTCGTTCTCAAGAAATACACCCACAATTTTTGTGAAGCATCATCGATAAATGTCACGAAATATCTGCTACCACCGAGACTCTCCACTTCCATGGGTCCACATACATCAGAATACACCATCTCCAACACATTTTCTTTCAGCTTTGAAGTTTTGCTGAAAGACACTCTATGGTGCTTCCCAAAGAGACAATAATCACAAGGATTCAGTTTTGAATCTTTGGCAAATGGAATGAGGGACTTTCTTGCCAAAATTTGTAATCCTTTTTCACCAATATGAGCCAGTCTTTTGTGCCACAAATTTGGCGAAGCATCATCTTCGACTGCATTCAATCCATCCTTGATCAGCTTCACTTGAGTTCTGTACAGTGTAGATCTCACTGTACCTCTAGCAGCTAACAACAATCCTTTGGTAAGCCTCCACGTGCCGTTACCAAAATTGTTAGTATAGTCTGCTAGATCCAATGCATGCACAGAGTCAAATTCAGACGTAAGTCTGGTATATGTCGTACGTTCTTCAGTATTATTGTGCACCCAATATTAGTTTGAATGCACACATCACCAACTCCCACAATATTTGCAATGCTGTTGTTGCCCATCTTTACTCTACCAAAGTCTCCTTATTTGTATAGACAAAAGAATTCCTTGTGAGAGGTTGCATGGTATGATGTTGCTGAGTCAATGACCCATTCAACACATGAATCTGCAACGTGACATTCTTCTTCTTCAACAAAGAGCAACACCACTTCCCCATTGATCACAGGGGTTGCTGTATTTTCACCGTTCTCTGATCTGTTGTTCCTCCAACCTCTGTTCTTCTAGGCTTTGCAGTTTGTTTTGATATGCCCTTCTTCACCGCAGTGATAACACTTGAACTTTCTCCTGGGTTGAGATTGTGATTTATCTCTGGATTTGTTATCCCGGCCTCTGCTTTTACATCTCCCCCTGGTTGCTGTGACCAGGGCTTGGGAATTGCTTGCCCCAGAGTCTTTTCTCTTTGTTTCTTCATTAAACATACTGTCTTTGACTTGGGTCAAAGCCAGTTTTCCCTCAGGGGCAGAGTTGCTCAACGAGACCACCAGAGTCTCCCAGCTATCCGGTAAAGAACTCAAAAGTAACAACGCCTGCAGCTCTTCATCAAGTTTCATCTCCATGGTAACAAGTTGATTCACCATGTCTTGAAACTCATTTAAGTGTTCTGCAAATGATCTTTCATCCCGATATTTTAGATTTACAAGCTTTCTAATGACGAAAGCTTTATTTTGTGCAGTCTTCCTCTGGTACATCTGTTCAATTTTGTTCCACAAAGTATGGGCTTTCGACTCTGTGGCAACATGGTGAAATATGTTGATATCCACCCACTGTCGGATTAAACTGACAGCCTTTCTGTGTAACTTTTTCCAATCGTCATCCTTCACATCAGCTGGCTTGTTGTCTCCCTTTTCTACAGGATCGTACAGATCTTTGTAGAAAAGTATGTCCTCTATTTTTGGCTTCCAAATGGAGTAATTTGTTGTTGTGAGCTTCACCATGGTACCCACGTTCTCCTCCATTTAATTTACACGGGTCGATACAGAGCCCAACGTGAGCTCTGATACCACTTGTTGGGCTCAGATGCGCAATGCGGAAGATGTAAAGTAAAATATCAAGGTAAAATAGTGAACAATAATCCCAATCCCAGCAACTCAAGAATGACAAAGAAAATCTCTTGCAATAATACCTGAATAATTCTTTTCTAATGTGGAAGATCAGATTAAACTGCAACCACAGAGCATACTAAGAATATCCCAAATAAATAAAATATACAAGAAAGAAGACACCAAGATTTAACGTGGAAAAACCTCCAAATAGAGGAAAAAACCACGAGACAACCTCCGAACAATTCCACTATATTTTCAAGATAATTATAATATCTTTTCACACTCCCTTACACTAGAAATGTAAATATAGTGACCCAGTGAGCCCCCACTCCTAAACAAGGGGTAATAGAGTTGATACCCAACCCGGTGTATTTTCCTACACTCACAGGATTTACTCAAACACTCTATTTCTATCTCACTAAAAAATAACACTCACAGAAATACTATTTTTGTACTCTTTTGCTCTCTCTTTTTTCTTCTCGCTTGGTGTGTTTTCTTCTGTTGAATGCCTCCCTATTTATAGGGATGAATAGTGCACATTCAACAAAAACAGTTGTCAGATTCTTTTTTTTTTTCCAATAAGGTGAATTAACCACCAATTATTCAATAAATTAATGCTGCTACATTTTTTTTTATTAAGTTGTCAGCCCACTTAATTTGGCTGGACATGACATTAACCCCATCTATCCAGCCGCAGGGTACCACTGAAGTGATTGCTTCATTTGGCCCCCCAACTTCATGCCGGCTCCACCTATCCAGCCGTTGGTTCTCACCGAGTTTCAGCCTTCCACACTGCCGCTTGTAGTTCTCAATATTAATTGTTCCACCGTTGCGTTTTAGGGGACTTGAACTGATTATTAATTAGGAAGCAATTTGCACTTAGTTTATGTAATATTTTATTTATATTATTCGAGCCACATAAATATTTAGGGAGCTAAGTATGGAAGATGTCCGCAAATTCTGGCCCGTATGTTATAAAGTGCCTCTTTTAAATTTTCATAATAATGTATAAAGCAACGTTTTCAGATGTCTCTATCTTACAAAATCACTTAATATTAGTTTGAAATTTTATTTTTTCTACATTTTTGAGAAACTAGCTAGTGGGAAAGATGAATTGGACACCAGCCGCCAAAAGAGATCACGGCTAGGCGTGGCCAAATGACGCGCCGTGACCCGGCTTGGACGGCCCGCTAGGTCGACGTGCCTAAATTTCCTTGCCCGTAATCGGCCCGGCCATTTCTATGGGCGGGTTTATTGAACCGGCCCTGAGCCATAGGGTCACCGACTCGTCGGTTTTTGGCCGGTTCGGACCCAGCCCGGCCCATAAGAAAAATACAAAGGCCGCCCGTCTTCCAACTCGCGGCCCGACCAAGACCGCCGAGACAAAATAAAAAGAAAAATAAAAAAGAACCGGAACCGACCTGCATGGCCAGAGTTTAGATCATCTCCAGCCCTTATCTCTACTCTAGCGTGGACTTTACTCTACTCTAGAGTAGAGTGCAACATCTTTCTCCAGCTCTTATCTCTATAATTACTCTACATTATTATTTTATTCATTTTATTTCAAACAAATTAATATATATATGTATATTTAATCTTATATAAATATTTATTACCCAAATAATAAAAATGTATTTTATTTATTTATTTATTTTAATGAAATCTACTTGTTTGAATGTGTTAAATTTATATTAATATGGTATCATTTTAATATTAAAAAATTACAAAATAAAATTCTAATACATCAATAAATAAAAAGCATAAAATTATTTAGCAAAAAAATACATTGCACAAAATTATTAAGCATAAAAATATACTTATTAATACACATTATACAAAAATTTATCATTAATATTACATTAAAATACATTAAACAAAAAAATAAAAAAACAAAAATAGCCTAGGATGTACAGTGTTGCGCCACATCTGGCGCAACACTATTCATATCTCTCCATTAGCACAGGCGCGTAGCGCAGGGTTGGAGCAATTTTTATCGCTATTCCAGCGCAAAAAGTGAAGTCTGGCACAACATTAGACACGCTCTTAAGTTCAACGAACCAGCGAAATCCGAGTTTGGTCTGGCCGGGCCGGTATCAAATCAGGGCCGGGTCGATGGGCCGGGTAGGCCGGTGGCTATGTCTAATCACGGCTTAGGAAGATGATGATATTTTCTGCTACTTATGTCATTAAAGTAAAATATTGGTGATTTTGAGATCATTTATCTCTTGTTCATATGTTTCTTGTAAATCAACTGCATGAGGGTAAAAAGTAAATTAGTTTTTCTTGCGCCAATTAAGTAGTTATTCAAAATATCATTTCTTTAATTCCAACGTCTACATTGACCAAAACTGTAAAATTTATAGTGTTTTTGTCAAAAAGGTTTTACTAATAAGACAAAGAAAAAGAAAAAAAATTGAGAAGACATGAATTAGAACAATATGTGAACATAAAAAATCTAAAATAGCTATATTATCTAATATTCACCTAAACTTTTAATACCCAAACAGTGTCATGTCAAAGTTTAAAATTCTTCAACTAATAAATTATTCAGAATTCATATTAGAGTTCCATATAGAATTGAATTTATAGATTACCCGAGAGATTCCACACACTCAAATTCTATAATAACTACAAATACGGAACTTCTATTGAGATACAATTTGAATATAGTAGTTCAAGTTAGATATAGTTTTTTATGAAAGAAATGAAAAGTAGGTATAATTTTAAATCTCAAAGTTTTGGATTTGAAATTATAAATTTTAAGTGTTGTCGATGTGATGCGAATATAATATTGGAATCAAAGAAATATAGTTATTATATTGAGATTGCGATCTCATTAATATTGTGTTATGCATATATTTTCTTATATCAACTGGTATTAGAAGTCAACACGATTCAAGATGTCGCCACGAACAAACAACATCGTCGGGCGTGACGCCGCCATTGAGCATCCGAGTCGACCAGCCACGGGCTTCGACCGCAAGATCAATCGGTTGGATCTTCGGGTTGAGGATATTTCGACGGGGATCGAAGAACAGCGTCTTACGATCAACAACATGGTTGAAAATTTGTAAACGAACCATGACGCCGGCAACCGGGGCGTGCGCCGGGGAGTTTGCGGAGGAAGTAGAGGCCGTGGTCCAGGCGAGGCGTGATGCAACGTCCTTTGATAACAAACAATTGCGGCGGGGTTGGAACCTACAACACGACTCAACAACGCAAGATTGGAACATAAAGGACTCTTATACTTTATTGTTAGGTGGTGATTTCGAACAAAATATGAATTGATATGTATCCAATGATCCAAACTGATTTTCAGTTCTTTCATTATATTCCTTTATGATTTGTTCTCAAATCTATCATATATATAGATTTCGGTTCAAGTGAGAATGATGCTCCGTTAAATAAACAAGAATGCATCTTAGCCATACAATCTGAATATCCAACACCCAAAGACAATCTAAAATGGTATACTCATTAAGGGCCTATTAAACATTATACCTTGTTTCAACCCAACTACCCACCTATCTAACGCACCTGCGGGTCCCAACCCCACCAACCTATCCCTTTGTTTGTTAAGTAGTTTAGAGCGAGAATAATTGTTAACCAAGTAATTCAAATCTCGGGTCGTCTCTTTTGATTAGAATGATTTTTTTACGTTCAAAATATAACTACGATTTAACTCAATCCAACCACACTCAATATTTTCAATATAATTAAATAATACTAATTGTTCATTCATCCGCGTGTAATTTTAATTTATTTTTTTTGTACAAAAGAAGGAGGTCAAAGACTTAAGATTACGAAACTAAGACTCGACGTGGGACACCCCTCGAACGTCATGATCAAGGCAAGTTCTGAGTTATGTAATTTTAATTAACATCACTTTCAATTACTTCTCTTCTACATTTACTTTAAAACAGCTCAAATCATTAATGTAAATACTATTTTATTATATATTCAAAATACCACTTAAACCTAAGAGCATCTACAATGCATTGGGTCTAGTCTTGTCTATGTGGCACGTAAATAAACCCAAGTCTTTGATGACATGGATAAAATTATGTAAAATTGTTAAAATCCACTCCAATGCAAAGAGACTAGGTCTCTACTTGGGTCTAAAATAGACTTAAGAGCATCCACAATGCTTTGGGTCTCTTTTTGCATATGTGGCAAATAAATAGACTTAAGTCCATAATGACATGGACAAACCCAAACTAAAAAATCTAAAATCTATCCAATGCAAAACAAAAAAGTACTAGGTCTAGAATACATGACAACCAATAAAAATGCTCTAATATATTTCATTTATTAAAAGAAAAACTAAATGAGGAATAAATGATGAGTGCTTGGGTTTGTACTTGGGTCTAAAATAGACCCAAGTGTGGACTAGGTCTCATTTTTTTATTGCCACATAAGTTAGACTAGGTCTACATTTAATTGCATTGGAGAACACTTTTTTATAGAGTAGGTCTATTTCTTACATGGCATGTAACTTTTTTTCTAAGAGACCCAAAGCATTGTGGGTGCTCTAAGGGTAGACCGGGTCTCTTTTTTGGGTTGTCACGTCAGCAGGACCCAGTCTACTTTTGTTTGCATTGGAGAATACATTTTTTTAGACTAGGTCTATTTCTTAGGTGGCATACAATTTTTTGTAATTGAATCCAATGCATTGTGGATGCTCTAACACAACCAACTTTTTTTTAAAAAAAATTAACTCTAATTTTGTGACGAATCCAATCAAATGCAAACACATAATGGATATTGATTTTTAATTTTTTACTTACTTTTTTTTTTAAACCCCAATTCTCAATTCTCTTTGCAATATTTTCTATGGACACAGTGACCGTCTTCCCTCCAAATCCTCAATGTTTGATGACCCCACCAATCTCTTTCAAGTCAGCCCCACAGCTCCTCTCCCGCCTCACCCCCGCCACGTTCAGGCTCTTCTCCACCATCTCCGCCGCCGCAGGCCTCACTGCGAGCTCCGCCGACTCTGAAACAGTAACAACAGTTTCAGAACCCTCGACCCCAAAACCTAGGTCCAACGGCGGTGGCTCACGTGGCGGCGCGAGGGATAAAAAGTCGAATTTGGACGCCAACCAATATAGGCTGAACTGGTTGGAGTCCCTGTCCTGCCCGTTGCCGGACATTGATGGGAACTTGACATGTGAAAAACCCGGCTTGGGTTGGGTCATCGGGGTTGATCCGGACCTTTCTGGAGCCTTGGCTGTTCTGAAGCCCGATAATTCTCCCCAGGTACTGTATTTGCTGCTTGTTGTGTTCTTATACTGGGTGGTGTGGTGTATGTGCAAAATGTATAGTTGCAGTCAGTGCCTAAGCATTTTTGTCGTGAATGTGAATTTCTATTTGTATAAGGGTTTATATTATACGGACTGGACTCCTATAATGTGATTCAAGTGTATGGTGTCTTAGTTTTAAGATAGTAATGTAAGGGAAGGTATTTGGCTATGTGCATCTTTGAACATCATCTCTGAATATAGTGTATTGATATCCCGAGCTGCTGGTTTGGGTTCCATCTTGGTAGAGGCTTAATTTTTGAGTGATGAAGTTTCCGATTATGAATCTTGAGGAAATATTTATTTATTTTATTTTAACTGATGGGATTAGAAGTTGTATATCGAGAGAGCTTTCATAATTCCTAATCTCTAGTGGTGCACCCAAGTGCCCACATTGATGAATGATGCTAGGGTTAATATTCTAAAAACTTGAACTCTGTCATTTAATATGCTGTTTCTCGGGATCTAGTGGATGATGGGAATGTTGATGGGCACTACACACTTTGAGGAATTTGAATAAAGGTCTTGTCCTTATGCATTCTATATTAACGTGTTTCAATATTAGAATTTAGAAGATGATAGGCGGTGAACACTAAGAAGTATTATAGGCTCTTCTCTGGTATTCCGATCAGGATATTCTTTCTGATAGAAGTTTGACATGTCATCATAACTAGATACTGGTTTTTGTCTACGTACTTTATATAATTGATTTTCATCCCGTATCTTTATAGGTATATGATTCTCCTATCTTAAAAGTGCTGGTTGGGAAAAGAGTTCGGAAGCGTCTTGATGTCAAGTCCATCATTCAGTTGCTTCAAAATGTTGATGCTCCAAGTGGTATATCATATGCTTTAGCTTATAGAGTGCTACCAATGTTACTGGTGCAACCTTGATACGACTGACTGAGTGGCAACCTTTATTTTTCTTGATATAATTCATCTTGTTACGTATAAGTACATGAAACACTGTGATTAAATTGCAGTATTGTTAGGGAACAGGTGATCTACTGCAGTGCTGACTATGATGAGTTTGGTTAGCCACCTACACAGGAGAATGACTTTTAATATTTCCTCATCTGATTTCACTCTTATTGAAAAAAGAGTTGTAATTGTATGTAGCTATCATTGGAATAACAATGAATAGCCTAGCTGCTCGACATCTCAAACTAATGCATACATTGGGCCGACATGTATCTTTTTCTTATACTTCAGGAACATCTGTCTACATAGAGCAATCGATTCCTTTTCCCAAAGATGGAAAGCAGGTTAGAAAATCTCTAACTGAAAATGCCCTTAATTTTTCCGTATGAAAATTGTGAACATGGTTGTCGAATGGTTACCTTTTTGTGTTCTTGCCTTCTGATGCTTCTGTTCTGTAAATTTTTTCTATCAACACTAATATATCACCAGTTCATGTTTCATTGTATCACTGATATTTTTTATGTCCTCTTGGTTCTGCTTTTTTACCTTGTTGTGGTGCTGTCTTCTGATCAATGGGGATCTTTGGAATTTGAGAAGTGTCACTTTGAAGGAGATGATCATATTAACGGTTTCTATTGGTAGTTTATATCTGCTTGAAAAGTATAGAACACCTCAGTTTAATTAGTAGTTCAAAAAATGAACGAACATCCTTTTACATCTTTTCTAACCTTATGGAGAATCCACTAGATCCCCACAACTGTATTTTTTGCAATGTCAATTTCTCGCCACAGTCATCTCACTTACACAAAGATGATCTCCCCTAGTCCTCTTCTTTTCTCGATCAGTTCATACAGATTTCTCTTAATGCTATGACATCTACCATCTTTGTCTAATTTAGCTTTTTTATTTTGTGTATTCACCATTTTGAAGCTTATCCACAGTCTTATTGTCTTATTTTCTGCTAACACCTGATGAAGGGGATCTAACAAAATAGTTAGTTTTGGCATATGGAAGGGAAGTAAATTTTAGCTATTGAATTTCCCAATGAATAGGTAAATTTATGCATCAAAATATGATGTTCGTGAGACATCTTTTTCCTGAAACTCTTCTGTTTAATATGTATTTTGCTTATCCAGCTACCATCTTACACTCTTATGTTTTGGGTGGTTTCCTAAGTATATTCATATTTTGCACTCAAGGGATGGTGGAGTGGAGGATTTGGATACGGACTATGGATAGGTATTTTGGTTGCCTCGGGATATTCTGTTGTTCCAGTTCCATCTGTTTTGTGGAAGAATGAGTTTAAACTCTCAGGGTTTCAGTCAAGCAAGGTTCATCTGATTCCTGCAAAAAATTATGACCACCCTATTTCCTTAATTTTACTTGCGCTAAATTAAATTGATTTTTTAACGTATTACGTTAAGAACATAATTTTGCATCTGATTGTGCGTGGTTTATTCATCTTCCGTTCAACCTTTGACATTTATTGTTTTAATTGATAGGATGATAGCAGAGAACTTGCAACAACTCTATTTCCTTCTATGAGTTCCATGTTGAAAAGGAAAAAAGACCATGGTTAGT